ACGCTTTTGCCGTTTGCGGTGCCGCTCCTTCGGCAGCGCCTGTGCTGCCGCTGCTGCCGACGCTGACAGGTGGGGGGGGGAAAAAAACAAACCGCGCGGGAAAAGTTGGAGGAGAGCAGCTGTGCGACCCCCCAGCTCGTTGGTGTGGGGTGGCTTTTCCTGCCCACCTCGGCGGCCGCAGCTTCCCTGCTGCGCGGAGGAAACGGAGGAAGGGGAAGCAGTTACCGCTGCAACTTTAAATACATTGTAGACGCCGAAGGTGCTAAAATGAGACGTGGTTTTTTTCAGTGCGGCCACTGGAGGGAATCTCGGTTTCGCCACAGATCCTGACGTACAAGTTTGCAAAGTCTAAGTTCTTTACAAGGGTGAGAGTTTCAAAGGGTAATAGTACAGCAAAGTAAAAAATCCCCAACTAAAGCATTTTAAATCTGCTTTTCCCCGGGCACACCCCCTGCTCGGCCTGTGTGCTTTCCAGTGCCGTGCTGCAGGCTGTGAGTGCTGTCTTCTTCCCAAGCTGTGGCCTTTTTTAAACTGATTTCTGCTCTTGCGGTTGACAGCAGCATGTGTTGCTGTGGCTGACGGGACACTACTCAGCAACACGACAGCACGCCACAAAACGTGAAGCTCGTTCCTTACTTGGTGCGTTGCTTGCTCTGTTTCTCAGCTGTTGCTGGCGGAAGTCCCTGGCTCTCCCCTCAAGCCCTTTTGGTTACAGCACACATTTGTCAGTGGCATCCATGGCCACCCCGTGGCTGTACAGCTGTTTCCCAACTGGCCTGCTCTCTCTCCTCAGACTGTTTCTAGGTTGGCTCCTTTCTCCAGCCCCATGGAGATTGCTCTTCCTGGCTCTGCTGTCCTGGGATTGACTGTGGCTGCCCGTCTCCCCCTGCTTTTTTCCCTTGACAACCAGTTCCCCGGGGCTGCCGGCTCCAAGCTGTTCTTGCATTCCTACAGCATCCCCTTCTCCAATGGCCCGCCACCTGGGCCCAATGCTCTCTGTTACCGGAATGGCGCTGCTTCTGCCCTGTCTCTTCAGATTATACAGGACCCTGAGTTGATGTGATGCTAATCTGGCTTGCTCTCCTCTCCAGAAAATGTCTCCGGTCCAGTCCTTGCACTGTAGGTCATGCTAAGGAGGAGGAGTGATGCCAGCATATCCATTAGGCTGTTTGTGTTTCTAACCACTTCACACATCACCATGGTATCTGGGTCCATTTTTTGTATTAGGGTGGGGTTTTTTCCATCTCCCCCACACTTTTATCATCATCAGTATCATACTTGTAGGAAACCAAAAGCAAAAAAATGAAAGGGTTGAAGAAACCTATTTTTTTTCTAAAGCAGATATGCTTCATGGTGATTCATGGTTATTATTTTATGTTCTCGGAGTGAACTCATATGATAACTCTTGTAATAGCTCTGTGCTCAAATTGATACTGTTTCTAGTTACTACAAATGACAACAAAGAATCCTGGGAATGAAGAATGCAAGACAGCTGTGGCCAAATCAGCATGTAATCAGAAGGTACATTCTCCTAGCCAGCTGCAAATAGAATCACAAAGACTTAACTTCCGTAGCAGAAGCACATGCTTGGCTCTGGATAACTGGTGAGGTGTCTGAAATTGTCCCAAGGCTGCAGGCATCTTCGGCAACTGGAGGGCAAACACATTCTCATGAAATACTCTGAACACTGGCAATTCCACAAAATGTTTTTCTCTTCCCAGAAGTATAACTTACCTTGCTCTCACCTTCCGGTTACCCAACCATTGTTTATAAAATATTTTGCGTTGGGGTGTCTTGGTGATCACAGAGTTTGAGACAGTGTCGATTAGATGTCAGCCACATAAATACTGCTTTTAAAATCTGAATGTTCCATCATATTCTCCCACATTTTCAGGTTGGTTTTGAGCAGAGGAGAAAAAAAGGCTTGCAGGATGCCACAGGTGAGGAGCCTTAAAATGAAAGGAGTAATTGCCTGCTGTATTTCCCCAAAGTGGTCCGAACTAGATATGAGAAACTTTTTAGTACATTCCTATTTCCATGCAAAATATGGAAGACAACTGTTTGGAATTCAACTGTTTTTAGGGGAAGATACACAAGATCATTTATTCATTCATAATAACTAAAACCCTCTCTTTTGCCTCGTTTTGTCTGATGATTAAATCCGTTTATTCCCTTTTGTGATGATTTTTCATTCATATGTTTAGAATTTTGGACTTCCATATGTATAAATAGCAACAGACCTAAAGAAACACTGAAAAAAGAGTCCGTGGCTCCATTTTTTTACCATGGAAAGGGAAACTCACACTCAAAATCAACATTTAAGTAATGGCACAGATGCATACAAGCAGGGAAATAGATAGCTACAATGGAAATGTGCCACATGTCTCAGAACACATAACCACAACAGGGTGTCTCTTTTACGACTTTCTTAATGTGCTGCAATATGCCTAGATATCAAAGGACATATGGTATATTTTCTCTTTAATTGCACATTTCTTTGCTCTTGTGAGTTACTCACAACCTTAACATTATTTAATTGTAATTTAGATGCATAAATCTAGATCATCACCACAAGTTTCAAATGCAAATATGTTTCAGTCAGATCTTCTTCCACCTCTGTTCCAACTTTTGACAGTGCAGTGTCTTTTTTGTTGATGTGCATTTCAGTATGTCATATTTTTGGAGAGAAAAGAATGCAGCTAGAGAAGGATGGGCCCTTTTCTGACAGATTTTTTTTCCCCATGTTTCCAACTCGTATTTCTCAGTAACAAGTAGTAAGTAAAGATACGGTTCCTGAGACCAGGGTCTGGAAAGCGTTAACATCTAGTTCGTAGAGAAAGCTGTCTGTTTGAAATGAAGTGCTAACAGTAGAGCGATTTTAGTCTTCTCAGGATTGTGTCAAAATTCCTCAATGCAGAGGAATTAGTTTAGTTTTGGAGAAAACTATAATATTTGCAGCAATCCAGTCTTCCAACAATTCTGAGAAAAAATGGCAAGCAATCTTCAGTTTCTGTCCATATTTTCTGCCATTTTTGTTATCTAAGTTTCCATAAATTCTCTGGAATAGGAGATATAAGTAAGAGAAGGAACCCACAGACATTCCCGTCCACAAGCAGGAAAACAGAGAATGCTGATTCATCATATTCTTCAAATTTACATTTAAAATTAAAATTTCAAACTTGGCATTTACGAAGCTATATATACAGGAAAGAGGCCAGCAAAAAATTTTATGGTAGCACTATCTGCTTAAACCTGCTTGACTAAAGGTCTGGGTATCAAAGCTGAGAATGATTCCTGCGAGTTAGACTGTCAGACTGTCCGTTTCTCAGACAAAGCCTTTAACGTGTTGCTGACAGCACCTCATTTTGTGCATTCTCTTCAAATTGACAAAAAAACCCCAACCCAACACTTTGTTTGCTACAGTATGACAGCTCAGGATCTGCTGCTAATGGGATGACGATGAATTTGAGCCTCTTTTTCAGGGTAGACTACTTTTTCATCTTGCAATTAAAAAAAAAAAAAAAGGCACGGGGGGTTTTATGCATGTGTTTTGTAACATCAGCAATACAATCGGGTAACAGAGCAGATCCCAAGGAAGGAGCATATTTTGGTAGATGAAAAAGGAAGATGGCAAAAGGAAGAAATGCTATTTCTGGTTTAGTGTTTCTTCATCAGCTGAACGTGGTGTGATGTCATAACTTTGGTGGGATTTCCTGCATGCCGTGTCTCCATGTTAATTCATCTTGTTGCAAAATGGGGCTTGCATCTGAAGGTCTGCCTGTGTAAATAGTTGAGTCTTGAAAACGGTTCAGATTCTGTTTATTTAATAAACAGTAATTTGTTACCAAAATACACAAACATATTAGACCGTTGGTAGGGTAAACGGTGCTCTTTGCTTCCTGGAAGAGATCACACTAGCAGGATAAATCTGTCTTCAACTTATTCTGTCAGCTTCTTGTCTGGTTTTTTTCAACTTTGCCATTTATATTCTGCACTGGCTATTGTAGAGAATATTAATAAGAAGTAGCACCTGAAATGCAAGGCTGTGTGTTCTGATATAAAGTGAAATACCCAAACAGCTCTGCACGCTACAAGGATATTGGTGGCTCTGCTGTCTTCCAGAGGGGCAATAACAAACCCAGAAAAAAATCATTGGGATGCTAAATTTTTATTCTAGTAGCTGTCATTTTAGTCTGCAAATATAAATATTTAGACTAAAGAAACTCACAGCAGGTTCAGCAGTTTGCAGTAATGGGAGTAAGTGCAACAGCTGCGGTGAGAAAATCTTTCTGTGTCCTGATTTTATTCTTCAAAAGGGAATCTCCAGCTACTAGGAATGTATGCTATAAATAAAGAATAGCAGAACGTCTAAGCTATGCCTCCTTAGAGCTGAAAATTCTTCCAGAATTCTTAGAGGTTAATATTTTATCTTAGGACACAGAAGCAAAGCACTGTAGTTCACTAACTTCCTCATTTTTTGGATGTCAAAAGCAAAGCAGAGAAGATAAACATGAGAAGGCACTGCCAAGCAGTGCTGAAGAAAATGTAGCAATGATCTTGATGATCTGAATATTCGTATCTGTTAAAGGCAACACATTTGCAGTGGAGAGGTGTTACTATCTTTTGGAGATGCTTCTGGGGACTCTCACTTCTGCATCATCTGCATCATCCTCAGCTTCTGCCTTCTGAAGACTCATGATCATGAAGGACAGAGGAGATGACTCAACAGCTACAGGACAGTACTTCTACCTTATTGTCACAATCCTAATCCACAACTTGCTGAGGGAATATAGAAAAATAATTATATCAAGTGCAATTTTCTTTCAGTAAGCCTGATCCCATGACCTAAAGAAGTCCTCCCTCATTATGCTAGCAGTGCTGCTAGCAGTGCTGCTCCCAGTGCTGCCCAGGAGGCCATTGGCTTTTGCTGCAAGGGCACATGGCTGGCTCACATCTACGTTGTCCACCAGGACACCCAGGGCCTTTTCTGCCAAGATGCTTTCCAGCTGGTTGGCCCCCAACTTGTACTGGGTGGTGCATGGGGTTGTTCCTCCCCAGGCACAGGACTTTACGCTTCCCCTTGCTGAACTTCACGAGGTTCGTGTCTGCCCATTTCTTCAACCTGTTGTGGTCCCTCTGAATGGTGGCACAACCGTCTGGTATATCAGTGACTCCTCCCAGTCTTGTAACATCCACAAACTTGCTGAGAGCGTACTGTCTCCTGTCATCCAGGTCATTAATGAAGAAGTTAAACAGTATTGGCCCCAGTATTGACCTGATACTGACCCCCGGGATATATCACTACTGACTGGCCCCCAGCTGGACTCCATGCCACTGACCACAACCCTGTAAGCCTGGCAGTTCAGCTGGTTCTCAGTGCAGTGCACTGTACACTTACTTAATCTGTGCTTCAGTTTGCCTATGGGAATGTGATGGGACATAACTGTCTGAAACCTTACTAAGACTGAGATAAAAAAAATCCACTGCTCTCCCCTCCCTGCATGCTCAGACAGTGCCTCTGTATTGCTCCAGGTCACCTGTCCCTGCTTCCACCTCTGGCATGCTTCCTTTTCATGTTTGGGTTTTGTCGGGAGCTCCTTGTTCATCCCTGTAGGCCTCATTTCCTGCAGGCCAGGGTGGACCGTTCTTTAGTTTGGAAGAGCTGATCTCTGGAAATTGACCATCTCTCTTGGATCCCTCTTCTCTCCAGGGCCGCATCCTGTGGGACTCTTTCAAGCAGGTCCCTGAATGGTCCAAATTCTGGTCACCTGAAATCTGGAGCTGTGATCCTGTGTTTTGCTTTGTTCTTTCCTCTTAGGATCCTGAACTCCATCTTCTCATGGTCACTGCAGCCAAGGCCGCCCTAGACCTTCACGGTCCTTCCTTGTTTGTAAGCATGAGGTCCAGCAGAGCCCCCCTCCTTGTTGGCTCCTCAATCACCTTGGTTAGGGATTTGTCAATCAATGCACTCCCCAAACCTTTTGCATTGTTTGTGCCCTGCTCTGCTGCCCCTCCAGCAGATACCAGGATGGTTAAAGTCCCTCATGAGGATCAGGGCCTGCAAACATGACGTTTCTTCCAACTGTCTGAAGAAGGCCTCTTCTACTTCTTCCTGATCAGGGGGTCCATAGCAGACACCCAGAACAACTTTGCCCATGTTGTTCTGCTCCAGCAGCTCCCAGTTGCCTCCTCATCCATCCCAAGGCAGAGCTCCATGCTCCATTCCTGC